AAAAAAATGTAACCCCTTCTTTAAGAGATCCGTAGTTTAAGAATCAAGAGGGATTGAAGCTAGGTTTACTATCTTTGTCCTATCGTCGTCTGTAGCAGTTGATGCCTTCAATAGAGAACCATCACAATTTGCCCGGATTGGCTTGGTCTTTTATTGTCTTATTATCCCATTGCTAAGCAATTTCTTGTCATGCCGCTTATTTAGCAGATCCAGGACCCTCTGTGACTTCTGGTCGGTCATGCTCTGGACTTTTTAAAAATCATCCAAAGTAAGAACCATACATAGATCCTTCCTTAATCTAGACTTGAGATCTATGAACTTAAATAGCTTACGCCTCTCAGTCTCGTAACTTTCCTCTAATTTCTGGATAAAGGCGTGATAAAGTATTTCATTAACTGTGTCCGAATGACACTTTCTCATTAGATTGTAGAATCGGATAGCAATACCATATTGTTTGCAACAATTCAATTTTGTGGTGCTAAGAATGGCGAGACTCACTGACGATGCCGACTACGATGCCGGCTAAACGTCTTGGAATGTACCACGTCCACGGTCCGACTTTGGAAGTGATCATGCTAACACCGGACTCCGAACTAGGTGTGTTCCTCTAAGTCTTCCTACCAATATGATCAAGTTGCGAAAACAAGGTCAAGCAACCTCTATACAACGAAAGAGACTGCGACCAGACAAAACCACACGATCTTGGTCTTCATAACTTCCTTGATATGGTTTTATTTATTGGTCTAGGACAGACAAATGAATGACTTAAAATATCATCAGAGGTAGCATTGGAATAGCAGGCAACTTTCCGAAAACATCGAAAGCAGATAAAGTTTAGAATGAAAGAGAACTTTTTCTAACTAGTACTGTTCAGCTCATAATAGCTAGAAGTGGATAGGAGTCGAATTCAAATCCATCCTCCAATAGTAGCTTGCCAATCTGTTGGGCTTCAGCTGAAATAGATGCCCAAGTGAAAATGGCAAAATCAGTAGATCGTAAGGTGGATGTCTTGTATGTAGTGCACCAAAATTGTGAATCTCGGCATTTAAGAGTTTTTATATAATAAGCTTAGTCATTTGGGTCCGAAAGTAGTCTGTGAAATATAAAAATGGGTCAGGTCTGAGGTTGTGGGTTGGGCCAAAAGTTGGTGATGACTAGGTTGCGGCTTAAGAAGGAGGAAAGTATAGGATACAATGCCTGTTGGAGGGCAAAGGGTATCACTTGGTAACCCCAGCTTGAGGGGACTTGTAACCACAACGCATGGTTTCCGGAAACCAGAAACTCTTCATACCAGATGTGGAATTCACTCGAGCATACCACTCCATGGTATAAAACATCATGGTGACAGAGTTAAGTATGGATAGAAAGAGCCAGTAGAGAAGATTACCTTGAAGACCTTGCTGAGAGAGGGAGAAAAGAAAGAAATTAAAGAAGCCTAAAATGATGAACATCACCGGAAGACAGAAACCAAATGACAGAGCCATCACGTACTCATGGATAGAAGCAGACAATAAGAAGACGACTGCAGCTGCCAGGAGTCGCTGTCGTCGGAGTAGAATCAATTGGAGGTCTCGGTAGACGTAGGTATAAAGCCAATTATGCACGACTACATTCCAAAGACGAAAGTAGTCCTGATTTGTGCGCCCATTCCACCAGTCCAGGTAAAAGAGGCGATCACCAAACCGCATTGCTTCTGCCCAGCTGTTGAGCCAGGAGTGCAGAAAGCAGAAAAAAGCCAGCATTATGACTACCAGAGTGGGCAGAGAATTAATGAAGACATGGCAGAGGAGACTCCGCCAAGTGAGGCAGAAGTGTTCTGCAAAGCGAGGAAAGATAAAGGTTGTGAGGACTAGGTAGCCGAAGAAGATGGAGGCAACCACCTGAGCCAAGTTGGTGAGTAGGAAACGCCGTCGAACTCGTTCAGTGCGTGGATAGACGTCGCGGTAGAGTAAAGTAGGCGCAAAAAGGAAGTAGAAATAATGCCCAAAACTCGGCCAATCCACGGGCGCAGAAATATGCTCCATAGCCAGTTGTTCTTCGTCAATTTTGTCCAGGCGTTGGTATTCAGCTTGGCAATCGTTCACTAGATTTGGTTTTGGTACAAAATGAAACATACAATTATCAGTATTTCGCCGCTTTCAAGCGGATAACACCGACGTTTACAGCCTTAAAGACGATCATCAAAGTTTGATGATCCATCCTTTCGAGTGTCTACAATGCTGTTAGTGAGGATCAGGTATAAGTATACCCCAGAAGAAGCACAATTTAGTGAATGTGAAATTAATCAACCTGAAGGTATTAGGGTATCTTTTCCTCAAATATAAGATCAAGCTTCACGATGACATTGAATTTCGCTGAATCTTTCCTTCCAAAGGTATTTTACACCATACTTAGGCTACAGTCTTGACTCCGTACAGGTCTCCTCAACACATTCAACATCAATCGAAGCCGATTCATGGT